TAAACACATCTAACTGTTTCTTAAAGATGGCCTTCACTTCTGGTTCACTCTTGCAGCTCAGGTAGGATGGGGTCTGGCACACTCCTCCAGCTACCAGTGCATCTCCTTCATTGGCAACTTCCCTAGCCAGGTCACAAGCAGCCTCATTGATTTGTGCTCCCTAGAAAGATGAAGCAGATTAGGACATATTTTGTTTATTCTGAACCTCTGTTTGGAAGATTAGAGAGCTCTAATCGGGCACTCACAGTTAATTTCAGTGTCTGACCCCTGTTCTCCAGTTTGTCATCGCTGGCATAGAATGTGAAGGCCTGCATGACGTTGGCTCCTGCCCTAAGGAACTCTCTGTGCAGCTGTCGCACTGATGAAAATTATATAGTTACAGATTGTGATGTAAAAATGTGAGTTTAAATTTGGATGAAGTGTAAGATTTTCCCAATACCAGCTTCAGGGTGAGTGACAGTAGCCTCAGGAGTCCATGGCCCAGCTTTCACGTAGCCCCTTTTCTCCAGGGCAAACACAAAACCCCCATCACCGATTACAATCTCCCCGGCATTCAGACGCTCCAGGATACCCTGTATGAGAAGAGGGATCTATTTAATCTGGGCTTGACTGTTGGAAAAATATACTAAATCTTGTCTCTAAAAACTCAAAGTAATAATAAAAAAAATGTCAGCACAAAACCTGTTGTAGCATAATCAGCAAGGAAACAGGATAATTGGTATAAATCGTTTGAGATTTGAGTAAAAATCATTGTGCAATTGCAAAAAAAAAAGTATCTAGATCTGTCTCTAGGGTACAAAAGTGCAAAGATAAGGCTGTTTTTTTGTGTGCAAGAGATCATCCGGCAGAGACCGCTTTACTCTGGTTTTAAAAAAAAGCAACACATGGACACATTCCACTGATAAAAAACCTCCATGAAAATCATCCAAATAAAAGCACAGAATGTTTCTCTGAAAGTAATATCCAGTTCTTCTACATGCTCCTTATGTTAGCTGACCTTTATATGATGAAAAATATCTGCAGTATAACTGAAACTTTGTTTTACCTTCTTGGTTGGTGCCATCTTTGTCAGCTCAGTTGCAGCACAGAGCACTTGGTAACAGCGAACCTCTCAGTTACCCGATGAGTACCAGAAGCTGCTCATCCTCTTTTATATAGGAGCACCATGAATGGGAGTATCCCAGGTTGGTCCCAAATCTGCGTCAAATATACATACGTCTGTTTGGATTGTGCAACAAAGCCTGGCCCACCAATCAATGAAGACGTTATGTGTTGTATTAGCTGACTGAGGGACCTGAGAAAAGACAGATGTGCCTTTAAAGCAGTCAGAGTATCAGCCAATGCCAGGCTTGCTTTTATGTGAACCACTGCATCATTTTGGGCTTTCAAAGCTAAAGGTGATCCTCTGTTGATGTGTGAGGCTTAAAAAGATGTTCCTGTTTCTGTTTAACAGCAAATGAAATCATTATTATGTAACCATGCGAATTAATGATTCCCATCTACAAAAAGCTCTGGGAATGAAGTGGGTTAATATAGAATCTCCAACATATATGTCTGTTATCTTTTCATCAAACCCAACAATATTAAACACGTTTTTTCATTTATGTTTCCAGGGAACTTATGATTTGAGTTTTTTTCAGACTTTCTCTGTTCTCTTCTGCAGTACTCTGACAAAGCATGTGCATTGTACAGCAACATATTAAGGATAAAAAAAAAAGCTAAAGTAAGTAAGAAAAATATTTCTGACTTAAAATTTTCCTGAAAAAGTGACTTTTGTTTTTTATTATTATTTTATTCCTTTATGTTAATGTATATCTTTAAAAAACCTTATCATGCAGTTTTAGTTTCTTATGTATATATTTTTATTAAACCTGAAAATAACAAATGTTAGTGATTAAGTGTGTGGCAATTGGTCTCTACACAAACTTTCTGAATGGATGTTTACTTTAGGTCATACAGATAAAGACATAACTAAAAAAATAATACAAACATGTTTCTGATGATGCAAAAATATTCTGCTTTTTGCAGTTGCTTTCTGCATCTGATTTAAATTTAGATAGTATAGTAATAACAAAGCTTAATTGCAGATTGAAAGCTTAAGCTGCATGGGGATCACTGCATTTCTCCAGATTAACCATTAACACCTAACATTTTTGCCACTGTCTTGCAGGCTTGATATTTGTTTGCTTTACACAACTCACATAAACCCACACATTTGCTCACACACTCACACACTGAGATATGGCTGATCAATGACCTTCAGTGGAGAGGCTTGGTGTGTGTAGTGCTGTCAGTGCTGGGTTTATCCAGTTTCAGGGAGAATTTTATAGTCCTGGCCTTCTTCATGTGTTTATCAACAGAGTCAAAGTTCAGAAAACTGACTTTAATCTGCAGTTCACCAAAGGTTTTGTTGGAGTACTGATCACATCATGCTGCTGTACAGAAATTACTTGGGATGCAAGGAGAAATTCTTGAACAAATCTGAAGATATGGATTGAAGGTGTGCAAATATATGCATTCACAAATGTTTTAAGGAGAAGTTTCTGAGTGAAAATAATCTCCTGCAATTACAATGCTTACTGAAGGTACTCAGATGCCTTGATTTCCCCCCCCCATTTTCCCACTTGCAATTAATATCTGTGTTGTATCAAGATGTTTTTTTTTAAAACGAATAAAGACAAAGTTATCCATAACCGCAAAGCAAAATGAAAACATACCTCAAATTTAAAACTGAAAAAAAAAAAAAAAAAAACTCCACTAAAAATGCATTAAGCATTTGGATCAGCCCCCTTAACTCCAATACTTCAAAATAAAATCCCTTGCAGCCAGTTCCTTTCTGAATATCTTTAACATATGAACAGCAAATTTTAAAGTTGTAAAATCTAAAAGAGCACTTTTGAATCCATACTTAAAAATGGAAAGTATATGTATTCAAATTATACTCTTTCATATAAGATCCTCAGAAAAACGCTGAGTTCTCTGTCTGTTATATGACCAAATGTGAAAAGGGATAAGGAACAATTTTTAAGGTGCTGTATATTATCAGTTTATGGCTGTATATGCATTTTTTTAATACTTTCACAAAGGAGTGGAATGTTTACATTAAGGTTTAGTATTTCTACTTGCAAAGACAACATTAAAAGTCACCCTAGTGTCTCCAGCCGTGGTGAGTTGACTTTGACTGTTTGTCTGAGTTAGTGATTGTATTTGCATTTAAGCACGCAAACAGTCATGTGTTACTTTATTGCTGATTTATTTCAATAGTTTACTCTGGATATATCAGAGTAAACACCATTTCACATTACATTGTAATGACTGACCAAACCACTTATGCAACATACAATCAAGTTAAGAATCACTGGGTTATTTTCTCTCATCCTCATGGGACTGATTAACCCACTTCAGAGCTGCCTATTAGCTCCTTCACCTCATTCCCTCATCATCTGTTACAAATTTT